AATCATCACCATGCTCGACATAAAAAGCACTAGCAGGGTGCTGAGTGAAGCACGGTCGTGCTTTAAGGGAAGGTTGTCTGTGTTTCTTCCTCAGCTCCACTTTTGAGAGGCTTTTGAGTAACCAAATGACCTCCGATTGATCTGAAACTTGCGCCTATGCCTCCTTTTGCTCGCTAGGACATGAAATATGACAAAATAACACAGCCTAGCATAAAATAGACCAAGACACCACAAATTTGAGCCAAACAGTTAAGAAACAAAGGTGCAAATATATGCAAATATGATGCTATCAATCACCATTCTCACCACTATCAGTAAAAAATTGCATAATCATCAGAATTATTCCCAACTCTCTCCCCCTCCAACATATTTATATGATCATCAACTTGTTCAATGTTGATTTTGTAATGATCAATCATCCTCAACCCCTCCAACATATTTATATGATCATCAACTTGTTCAATGTTGATTTGCAATGATCAATCATCCTCAACAAAGCCTTCTTATGAGCTTCCAGGTCACCCTTCAACTAATATGCTTGCAAACACATAAAAAACAACCCGAGTTAGTGAACAACACAAAAGCAAACCATAAACCTCCTAGAGAATTCCATATTCCTTTTAATGCACACCAGAACACGCACCATAAACAAAGCAAACCACAACCATTAGAATTCACACAAAAATACAACTAAACAAACTGTGAATATCATAAAGTATTCCTTTAACGAGTAATGCAAACCGCTGTCCTTTTAACACACACCACAAGTATTCTAAAGCAAACCATAAAACAAACACCAGAAAACAACTAAACACCCGTGGATATAATAAACTATTCCTTAAACAAACTAATGCAAACCACTACCCTTTTAACACACACCATAAGTATGATAAAGCAAGACATGCAACGAATAACACAGTAATACGAACTACTACTAAACAATACCAGAAAAAATCACTCACTTCTTCAACTGAATGAACACTATCCAAGTTTATGTCAAATGGGGCAACTTCGAAAGATCCCCTTACCTCTTCATATCAAGATCATCAACCACCCTTTTCCTCTTCGCACCCTTCACATGTCCAAATCCCATTGGTTGACTGGAGATTTCTGGTTCAGCCTCCACTACATCTCTATGACCAATAGAGAGATGCCCTTCTTCCAGCAGTAGTTGAAACTAGCATTTGCGATTTTGTACGACATGTGCCTGCATGGCGGTATTGGCAGCTAGGGTCCTTCACACAGTTAAGAATAGAAATCTGACACATACAAACAGACAGAAGTCAAACAACCACAATCAAAATATACAAGAAACCTTATAATAAACACCACAAAAATGATGAAGCGCCCTACAACAGAGGGAAATAAAACCAAGTAAAATATTCTAAAACAAGACATAAACATTTCAAGCACATCACAAAATCAAACACCAATTCCTCAACACATAGAACATAAATGGGCCAGAAAAGCAAAATTTAAAAAGAGGTTCATATTAGCTACCATACTTTTGTTGAAATGCTCAGACACATGTTTGCACTAGTTGTACAGAATGAAGTCATCTACCATATCATCTTGCAATTACCCAACATAGCTGAGGTCAACCTTCAAATTGCCACTAAGACACAAAACTGCTTCCATTGCATACAACACAACAAGATCCCTCCACTTCTTATAGTTCTTCTCCTCTTCCAAACAGATTTTGATGTTCACCAACGTTGCTTTTCCTTTCCTAGTGTTGGCAAGCCCTAAGTCAATCTCCCAACTGTGCTTCCGTTTTGAACTAAAACTATTTGGGTAACATCATACGGTCCACGCAGTGAACCATAGACCCTCTCCACATCTTTCTCATGGTTCTGAACTTTCCTAGCTGAAGTAGCGGGAAAGACCTTGAACTCACATTAGTGAACAATAGAACCTCTCCACATCTTCCTCCTGATTCTGAACTTTCTTGGCTGAAGCAACGGGAAAGATCTTGAACTCACATCAAAACTTTTTTAAAGCCAATCAATAAACTTCTCCGGGAATCTCGGAAGCTTAACCCTCGACACACCCCTAAAATTCAAAGAATCAAGCATCCAAAGCTTTTCTTCACTTGTACTATCAACATTGAGGATTTCAAGAATCCTGTTAGTATTATTGCGATGCCTTTTCTTGGGCGATCCGGGCACAGAAGAAACACCAATATCCTCACCCTTCTCAACATCACCAGCTTTCCTCTTCCTAGTTCTTCGATCTATATGCTTTGTTTTCCCCTTTACTGCACGTTTCTTACCTTATGACGTGTCTACAAGGAAATAAAAAAAAAATCAAACCAGCATAAGCAATCTAATACCACAACAGCTAAAATGCACTCTAGGAAGGGCCTACTACAAACTGTACAAGCCTAAACCCAAACCACAAATCAAACTTGAAGGATACAAACAACAACTCAAATGAACACCAGGAAGTACCTAATCCAAATGGTGAAAATCCAACACACAAACGAGAAAAGCTTTAAAGCACACAACCAATAGCATGCTAAAATACATCACAACTTCCCAAAAGCACACCATAAATTAACCTTAGACAAACCTTAAAAACCTAAATAAATCTCCCAATCAAACCCACAAACACCTTAAAATCACACCTTAAAATGTTTGTAATAAAAAACACTAATATACGAAATACACCAAAAAATTCTGTTATAAAACCTGAAAACCTTAATCACAGCAAACACAAAGCGCATCACCAAAATCGAAATCAAGACAAAAACTACTAAACACCACCATAAACGACTCATCAGATATCAGAAACCGTAAAATGAACACATAACTGAGGAAATCTGGAAAGCACCACAAAAAGGGTAGAAACATACAACAAACACACACTTACGAAATTTCCTCTTCTTTTACAACAGATTAACATTGAAAGAATAATACATGCCAGAAAAGTGAAAAACTAAAATAACAGAGCGCATACCTAAAAAGGACGGTTTACAATTTCAATAGCAGCAACGAGCAAAAACAACACTTTTAGTGTAGTTACACTAACACTACACAATTGAAAACTCCAACGACTCAAAATAACAACGACGACAGCGGAGGCCAAAAATCAATACAGTAGAGAAGATAGTATGTCAGAGAAAATCGAAAACGAACGACAGACCTTGAAATTCGCATCAATGCAGGAGAAGAAATTTCACGGAGGAAATCCACAAGCCACAGTGGAAGAAACGAAAATCACGCGGTGGAAGCACGACAAAGATGGAAATCGCGTGAACAAAAAGAGAGCAAACGACGGAGCGGAATTCATGAGCAGGTAGGGATGGCAATAGGGCGGGTTTGCCTAACCATCCTCATCCCCGCTTTCAAATATCTATACCCATATACCCGCCCCATACCCATGCGGGGGAAGGTTTTGCAAACCCATTCCATACCCATGGGTTTCGGGTACCCATGGGTAATACCCGCCCGTACATCCAACATTATAATACATAATATTTTACATGTAGACTTTCAATTATAACATTAAACGCACCTACTATATCGTGAAGTCGACAAAGAGACAATCATTTTAATACGATTCAAAGCATCTTATCCCAAAGCATCCATTAATCCATATCAGAGTATAGTACAATGTTATTCAAATCATTATAAACTACTGTGATACATCTAGTAATAATTAACTAACATAATCTTGTTAACAAGGGGAAAAAGTGAAATAGTGAAGGGAAAATTGAGAGAAATAAATTAGATTTTGATTTGGGTGGCCACTTAATTGCATTTCTACTATATATATTTATTGAGTTATACTCACTATTATTGATAGGTTACAAATTGATTCACATATTTTTTATATGTGAAGAAATATTTTTGGTGGGGCGGGTATGGGTATGGGCCTCATACCCATCGAACTTTTTACGGATTTTACCCATACCCACCCCATACCTGGTCAATGTTGGGATTCCCCGCGTTGAATGGGTCGGAGACGGTCGGATACCCATAAGCATGGGTTTTGATGGCCATCCCTATGAGCGGGGAAAGGAAAAAACTGAAATGACAATTAACATGCAATGCTATGCATTTAATATTAATTTTGAATTTTGAATTATAACTAGGGGTGGGCATTGGGTGGGTCGGGTGGATTTTGACCATAAAATGCACCCACCCGCACTTAAACGGATTGATAATTTTTAACCCACCACCCACCCACATTTAGTCTCGGGTTGGGTCGGGCGGATGGTGGATGATGCGGGTGGGTTTGTGGGTTCACCCACATCACAATTTATATAATATAAAGGAGTCAACTTGACATGATAATAGGTTAAGAGAATCATCGAGGGAAACCAGAAGTTGAAATAGGGCAAAAAATGTCGAATTAGTTCTTAAATTGGATAGAAATTCTATTATGAAAGAGTTTTCTACAGATTGAGACGATTATTAGGTGCAAGGAACTAAGGAAAATAATTCCACAAAGGAAAGAGCGTTGATCTAGGCACAAGAATTAGAGGAAAAAGTAAAGGGAAGAAGAGGGGATCTCTATTTGGAAGGTTGGCTTTGAGGTTCAAACTCCAGGAGCAGTCCGAGTTTATATCTAACGTCTCCACTCTCCTCTCTTTAGCGCCAACGACTTTGATTTTTTTGCTGTTGGGTTGAGCGGGTCACCCGCACACTCACCCACAACCCACCCACCACCCGGCGGATGGCTCCCAGCGCAACCCGTCACCCACCCACAGACCCACCCACTTAACGAAATTCGGGTCAAATGCGGGTGGGTCGGCCCAAACCCGCGGATGATCCGCCCGCATGCCCAGCCCTAATTATAACACAAGATCAAATGACAACAATGTCCTTGTTGTTAGGTATGTGTTGTTATTCTATTCAAGCCCATAAGATGGACCTGGTCTGTACCATCGAGATCAATCAAGTTTGGGCTTTATCCTATCTTGCAGCCCACACCGGATGCCGAAGAGGGGTCGTAAGAGAATGGGTCCATTGCTAAAACGGTAAAACCTCAAAACTGTTTTAGGAGAAGAGTAGCAAAGTCTTCTCCACGGTTGTTCAACTCCTAAAACCCTAGCAAAATAGTGCGGTTGGAAGCAGAGCAGTAAGCAAGCCTTCGATAAATTTTTCTCATTTCACTAAATAGCCCCTTCCCGATTTCGTTCTCCTGCTCGTATTAATCGGACATGGAAGAGGAGTTGGTATTTGCGTCTTCTTCAATTGGCTCCGCCATCGGCTGCTGGGCCATCGAATCTGGAAAAGAGCAGCAACTTCCCTACAAATCCTGCGGATCTACTCCTCCCCACGGCCTTTCCTTCGTCGGCAGCCGTTTCCTTGCGTCTTCCCAATTCTCAGACCATACAGCCTCTTTCGGTTCAATTATTTACTGTTCCTTGTCCAAGGTACGCACTCGGTACTTACAGTAATTCCCAATTCAATTTTCTCAAGCCCTAATTTTGACTTTTCATAGCGGCAAGCGGAGGTGAAGAGCTTTCTAGGAGACCCATAAAGCCTATCGCTGCTACTAGTGATGGGACGTATCTAGTTGGTGGAGGGATCTCTGGAAACATCTATCTCTGGGAGGTGAGCCCCGTCCTCCTCATTACTAGTTAGACTTAGCTTGATTCAACTCAGTCGGGATGTCGATTTCTGTAGGTTCCAACCGGTAGGCTGCTTCAGCAATGGCATGCTCATTTGAGGCCTATCACGTGCCTGGTATTCAGTGATGACGATTCGCTTCTGGTTTCGGCGGCCGAGGATGGTTGTGTTAGAGTCTGGCCTCTTTTGACGTACTTTCTCGTTCTCTTCTTGTGGATTTTGGTCAAAAGGGTGTACCTTTTCCTCTAATTGACAAGGTTGCTCCCTCCTCTCCGTGAATTAGGGTGGTTGGTGTTCAACAAAGAGATCAAGCAAGTAATCTCTACTTGCATAGCTTTGCAGAGCACACTTTGCCTATAACTGACTTGGTAATGGGACACGGGGGTGGGAATGCTGTTATAATCTCAGCTTCGAGGACAGGAGTTGCAAGGTTAGATTTGAAATTTATTGATTACATTCTTCTTTTACGGCTGCTGCAAATCGTCATATGGCATTCGTTCTTGTCAGATATGGAGCTTATCTAAGGGCGTTTTGTTAAGAAGTCTTGTGTTCCCTCCATAATCAATGCATTAGCTCTGGACTCTTGGGAACTAGTGTTCTATGCTGGTGGTAGAGACGGAAATGTATACTGCTGCACTAAATGCTAGTACCTTGGACAAAAGTGATTGGCCTCACATTATAGGCTCTTTCCTAGTCAAAGGTCAGTAATTTCTTTCCCTTGCATTGGCTGTTTCTTTCCCTCACCCGTTTCATTTGATTCCCTTCCCAGAGAATGTTGGTTCAAAGTATTCTGGCTTACCACTTTGTTGTTCATTGTTTTGAGCAGCAATGCTGTGACTTCCTTAGCATACAGTGGCAGTAGGAACAAGTTGCTTGCTGGATTGGATGATGGATTCATTCGAGTTTTGGGATCCCAAGACACGTAACTTTGTTTGCACATTCAAACAAGCAAAAGGTCTGTTTGCATTATTACCCGAGCTGCGTTCAACTATTTTCTATGTTGGCTTGTGAGTTTTTTTTTTATTTATCTTTGACCTGTCTGATTGTTATCTGATCTTTCATGAGGCAGGTCCCGTGAATAATATCCTAGTCATGAAGCGACCTCAATGCGTAAATCCTTGGATGTCAGCATTACTTTACTGCTTGATAAAGGAGGGCCGAAATCATTGCTACCACCTCCCAAACTGCAGAAATACCCAAACTTGACAGATGACCTCTCACTCACTCATGCAGTCATTAACCTGCCGCGGATTACAATAATCCTCTCGCAGTATGTTCTTTCACCCTTCAAATGATTGACGGTCAACTTAAGGACCTGAGGTTGGTACACTTTGTTCTTCTTGATTCGTTACCCTGGTTCACCATAAAATTCTTTCGTTACCCATGACAAATAATCTGCCTGTGTGTGCTGTATCCTGTTGCAGCAGAATGATTCTTCAGTGGTGGCGAAGATTGAAGTGGAGAAGCTGAAACATGATTGTGCAGAGTATAAGCAAATGCTTGATAAGTGGAAGAGGAGGTATGATGCTCTGCATGAATTCTGCATGGACGAGTTGTTGGCGGGAGATAGACCCCCCAAAAGGTTGGTCAGGCCTTTGAGTAGTGATCACAAAAGTAAATCATTTGGGGGAAACTCGGGCTAGAGTTTTTTATAGTAGTAGTTGTTTCGCTTCACTCTCGTCTGATGATTGCAGTTATTTACAACAAGTTATGCTCGTGTGTTGAGAGGAAATGTTGTTGGCAGGAAATAGAACCCCCTAAAAGGTTGGTCAGGCATTTGAGTAGTGATCTTTGAGTAGTGATCTCAAAGGTAATTCATTTGGGGAAAACTCGGGCTAGAGTTTCTATAGTAGTACGTTTCGCTTCATCTCTGTTCTGGTCATTGCAGTTTATTTACATCAAATTATGCGTGTGTTGAGAGGAAATTTCTGCCTATCGCCAAATTAATATGTGAAGATATATGACTTTTTACCAGTGAAAATACGTATATATAAATATGTATGGGTATTTTGGTTTGTGTCTAAACTAATGCTATCTTTAATAGTACATTAACTATTTTAAAAATAAATAAACATACAAAAGAATAATGAAATGAATAATTTAATTTATTAAATATGAATATTAAATGTGTAATATGGGCTTATACTTTTATACATGTTTAGTGCCAGAGCTATTAATGAACAGAAGAAAATGAAACGTCTTGATAATAATATGTATATGGAGATTTTAAACAAATAAAATATGTATGGGTACATTTCGTATATTAAATGGAGTTTACTAACTATATATAGTTATGAAAGTGAGTAAAACTATAGATGCAAGTCCCATTTGTGACTGTCCAAATCCATTTAAGTGCGTTTGGAGGTCAACGTCCACTCGCAGAGCAGTCTGCCTCGAGGCATGCCCCATTGAAGATGTGTAGGTGGCATTGTCATAATATACTAGGTGTTAGAAATTTCTTTAAGCTTGACATGATCAACTGTTGTACAGCGAGCATGAATGCGATGCGCAATCAGCAGTGAGACTCATGTTTGTTTGAAAGATTTAGGATTGTGGAAGCTCGGTTTCAGAATAGAATAAAATGAAAAGGATATCTAAGCATTGTTTGAAATAAGGCGGGACGTTTGAATTTGAACTAAACTAACCAAACAAAGAATCAAAACTATGTACGAGGGATATCACTAGGGAAGAGTTGGTGTTGGCAAGACTTCAAACCACCTTTTGGTAGTTGCTAAAGGCTCTAAAGGTTCATGTTATAAGAGATCAGATTGATTCATAACTCACTCCACGAAGATACCTAAACTGAGCTCTAACTCAATGATCATGCAATTAGAGCTCTTATCAACTAAATGAGGGACTTGGTATGAATTCTCACAACTCCAACTACCTAAGTGATGCATTTAACTAGGATTTCACTAATGAAACTGCATCACTCTTCACGAGATAACCTCATTATGAAAGGATCAAGTAATTCCTTGATCCTCTCTAAAAAAAGTAATTCCTTGATCCGATCAACCGCGTAATCATCATCTATCTAATGATGGCCACCCTAGAGATTGTGGCGATATCACCTCATCAATCTCCAAAACCTAATGCACCCAACTTGAATTCCAATTCATGCTATCACTTGATAAACATAGAGTACGAGGAAGTCATGTGAGACTATGATCAAGTCACCCAAAAAATCTCCCAATCCTATGGTGGGTCAAACTTCGAAATTGGGAAAAATTCACAATCACCACAAATAGCATCCAAGACTATGCATCATAATAATCATAGATATAGAATTAACACAAATCAATATACCTCATCCATACAACAAAATTCTTATCAAACATCTACTTGAGCTCTACATCTAACCAACCCAAGGGTTGAGTTCATATTAAGTGAACTTGGAATTAATTGGTACTTATTGACTTATCACTGCAATCTCAACCAATTCTTCCCAAGCATCCTTTTTAATTTATCATTATAAATTTTCTCCTTTATAGTGTACTCCCCGGACAAAATGTGATGTCTACAGTTTTCCACAGTGGCAGATACATTCATGTTTATGGGTGTCCCGGGACCCCCTAAAATTTGGAATAATAATTGTCCAACCTCTAATAGTAGTTTGCGTATAGATTAAAAAAAATTAAGTGGTAGCGTGACACCCTTAAATTTGGAGAAATCATTAATCAACTTCCTGTAGTAGTTTATGTATGAGTTGTAATAATATTTATGTGATAGTCTATGTGATTTGAACTTGGGACAGTACTACTACTATTAGTAAACATATTTTCAATTAACTTTGTTTTGTTTTGTTTTAGATACAAATATAATAGTAAAAGGCTATTTTATCTGAAAGCTAAACATCACCCTAGTTTTACTGTTATCGCCCTAACTTAGAATATATAATTACTAGATTATCCTCCTTAACCAAATAAAAAAATCGGCTTTAAAATCTCTAATGCGCTATCTTCGTCAGAAGAAAGCAATTAAACGGCGCCGGCGAAGAAGCAATTAAATGGTCCCTTTGACGGCGCCGGTGCAGCGCGACCCCCAGTACTCCAAACCAACTATGGTCACCTGCACTCCAAACGACTTTGCCGCGAACAAAGACAACCAAAAGATCCACTGTCCTGCCGCCGTCGTGGTCCTCCAAAAGCTCACCCCGCTTATTTTCTATTATACCACCACAATTAGTAAAACAAGTTGTAATTATTTTCTGCAGTCATGGAGAACCATTAAAGCTCCAAAGAAGATGAAAAGAAGAAATCATAATCAAGCTTTTCTTGTAGTTTTCTATGAATGCTGGTCTCCATTTTTCACAATTGTCGGAAGTGGGCAGTGATGGCGGCAACCGGTGATAGCAGCAACGAGTACCGGCAGCGGCAGCCGGCAAGTAGTGATGGTGCTAATGCCAACAAAAATGAAAGGGTATAAAGTAAAATCTTTCATTAAGTTAGGGCGATCTATATAAGCTAGGGCAACATTTAGCAATCCCCTTTCTTACCCCCAATTATTTTCAAAACCTAATGATTAAACACAATTACGGGCTACCCTTGTCTAGTAAGATATGTCGAGAGATTTTTTTGAGCAGTGTAGACATCGAATGTTATTTTACTAGTTTTCATAATACGAAACACTATGAACTTTTATTGTCACCTTTACTAGTTGAATAATTATTAATTATTATATTTCATATTTAATAATATTTAATTAAATTTTTGGGAGAGAACACCCCTATGTAAACTTTCTAGATCCACAACTGGTTGTCCCCCTTTGTATATCTTTGTATAAAGAGTTATACAAAGTTCCTATAAAGACACCACATTTTATAAAGTAGCATGATGGTCGTGTTAGCATCTCCAAAGAGAGTGGTTTTTAGGGTGACGTAATAATTGTAAGCAATCTGGTGTGTTAATGATAGTGTTAACCGATGTGGAAAATTTCAAACTCTTCATAGTATGAAAGTGGATGTAAATTTTTCGTGCTTGTTGGCAAGAATGCGGTATTGAAAGGTAGATGCTCCTCAGCTCCCTGAGATATTGGACGATAGGGGTGCTCCTTAGCTCCGTGAGGTATTGGAAGGTAAGGGTATTTCTCAGCTCCCATAAGTTGTGAAAGGTAGGGGCGCTCCTCAGCTCCCGTTAGAGTAAACAAAGACCCAAATATAGGATATAACAAGACATTCGTCATTGCCAAATATTTTTTTTTATGATACGTTTTGAGGCGTTCGTCATCGCCAATTGTAAATATGTTGACGCATTTTTAGGCATTTTTCATTGCCAATTGTAAAATTTGTTGACGCATTTTTAGGCGTTCCTCATTGCTAATTGTGGTTTTATTTACGTATTTAGGCGTTTGTCATCGCCAAATGTAATTTTGTTGACGCATTTTTAGGCGTTTGTGATCGCCAAATGTAATTTTATTGACGCATTTTTAGGCATCCGTCATCGCCACATGTAATTTTGTTGACGCATTTTCAGACTTACATAGCCAAATGTCTTGGTGACACATTTTTAGGCGTTCATCATCGCTAAATGTTTTTGTTGACGCATTTTTAGGCATTTGTCATCGCCAAATATTTGGGTGACAGATATTTAGGCGTTCGTCATGGCTAAATATTTTGGTGACGGATTTGAGGCGTTCGTCCACACCAAATGTAGTTTTGTTGAGGTATTTCCTAAGGACATGCCTAAAGCGAATGTAGTGACTTGCCCTAATTGTAGATGAAAAGGTTGATATTGAACTTATGAAATTCTGAAGTATGTTATTTTGCATATGGTCCTTTAGTTGGACATTTGAAATCCAGATAAATGTTTAACTTAACTTATGATGATGTCGTTCACTGAGTATCAAGATGATTTTTAAAATGATTGTATGATGAGCCATGTCGATGAATATGCGTGAATGTCATGTGAAAATGTAGTATGATGCATGATTGTCTGGTTACAAAATATGTTTGTTTTTTTATGTTTTTTTCCTGTATTCCTTTCAATTTATCATCCACGAGAAATTGTCTCGTTCTTTACCGACTTGATCCTTAGTACAAATTCTTGATTATGTGCCCCCAGCCCCATGGTGAAGAGACAAAGATGTTGATTATTTTTTCTTTGATGTATGTTGTTTGGTATATCCATCCTCATCTTAGGATTCGGAATAATATGTTTGGCCAGGTGGCCTACCCGTGGCGGTGTTTCTTGCGATGTAAGCAATGTCGTGCTTGGTTGAGAAGATTTATCATTCTGAGGTATTTATGTTGATGTTGGTTTTGCTGAGACATTGTGTGGTACAACGTTTGCTATGTTGCTCAAAGTATTCATGGTATATCGAGTTGTTCCTTCTAGTCGAGTCATTGAAGGGTTGATTGACCGTTCGGTTGGATTCAATGAATTGTGAAGGCTTCGAAATCTTCGATATTTCTTCATCTACCTGTCATTCAGAAATCTACTTCCCGAGTACTTCGTAGTTCCAACCTTCCAGGATGCGTTATTCTTGTCACCAAAGATCTATACTCACTTTCAATTTTTCGAAACAAGAGTGACTCTTATCAACCTCTACTTAGGATGAATGCAACAACATTTGAAAATTCTTGTTAATAATGGAAACTCATTTTATATATCAAAACTTTGCTTGAGAGAAGTGTGTGCAAAATTGTTTTAGTAAATCAAGCCATGAGAGTATCCATATGCCTCGCTTTTCATTCTCACTATTGATTTCGCTCTCACTCATTCCTATGGGTGCTCTGAGTTTACGACACATAAGCTACCATTATGATTCTGGTTACCTTGAGATGTCTCCTTTTATGCTGATGGCCAACTGTGTTTTTTGTGAAGATTTACTCAATTTGGAGAACTTGGTTTGATCGATTTAGGAGATCTTCATGTGATTCCATCGTGGAAGTTCTTCATCTCCCACGAAATGAGGCTTTGGAGAGTCTTCTTGTTCTTGAAATATTGTTTATTCAAATGAGTGGCGAATATGTGAAATCTTGAACTTGCCCATATAAGGCTTCTCGTAG